GCCGAGGCCGTCTTCAGAAATAAAGATTTATACAAAGTGAAAAGTGAAAGTGAAGTTCTCACTGTTGACAGCATTTGATAACTGCGTTCTCCTCTTCGTTCGTGCCTGTCTATTCTATGATTGTCGCGCTAGCGAGGGATTGCAAGCGGACCGCGAATTCCTGAACCGTCTCATCTCTCTTTTGAGTACATGTACGGAACTTCTGGACACGTAAGGAGTATGGTTCTTGGTCGAAACACTGAATCATCAGCTTCCGAAAAGTTTCAAACTCCATTACACTCTTCATGCTGAGGTCGCACCATGCAAAATCTGAAGCTACACCTGTGAGCTTGCACTTGGCTATGCTCAGGCACTGCCGAGGGGTCCATTCCGCAAGACTAGCAATCTCTTCCAACATGTCAAAGAAATCGGTGACACACCCTGTTTCACCCAAAAACATTGGGATCAATACTCCGAACGTAAAAAAGGACGGAAAAGAGCCGCTACTGAAACCATCATGAGGTCGCGTCGGGCCACTTGCATCTGCCTCCATCGCTCGACCCACTTTTTAGAAAAAATCTTTGTCAGCGTAACTTACTCAAAATCTTTTTGTGTGGGACTATTAAATCCCGAGCTTCTGACATTACTGTAAGGTCAGAACTGGCATAAATTGGGCCTAAAATCCGACTTCTAACATCACTGTAAGGTCGCCGACTTTAGGGGGCAATACGTTATTTGCGCGTCAGGAAAACCTAGGGTCAAACTGTATGTAAGTGGTGGTGGTAGGAGACAAAGATGAAAAGTGTCTTACACGAAAACCGTTTATTTTGACATAAGGTTAACTTACATAATGGCAATAACAATGCAATCTAGATCATCTTTGATGGGAGCTCCTTGATGTCGACAAACGGGCGCTGACTGGTATCCCAGGCTTGACAAGAGTGTCTGTTGCACAGGGTCCTCTGTCCGGTGATGTTGCGGATGCACGTAGATTTTGGTCACTGGTGGAGAACCTAATCCAAGTGGAGAATTGTGGAGAATCGGCTGAGAATCTCTCTTTTTTCCTTGAGATTCAGGGGTTTTATAAGATTTTCCCCGAATCTCACCCTTTTGATTGGTCCCGTTCACCCTTTCCCTTACCCCGATTGGTCATTCTTTTGTTTCTAGGCGAAACTTGAGACCGATCCGACTCGGAAAAAGGAGAGGTGATGATGGGGCTTTTAATGTTTGCGCTCATAATTTTCTCCGTTATGGCCCTTCTCCCGGACATCTTTGAACTTAAACGGTCCACCAGATGTTCTTGTGGCCATTTATCCCCTACCGCGTTCGGACTTAACAGATGTCCCTTTTGTTCCTAGACCCCCTTTCTCTCGATTGCTTCGACCCATCACTTGTTTGTGAGCATCTCGACAAAGCTCTTTCTCACTGTCGACATTCCCCCCTGTTGTTTATCATCGCGTTGCGTTTGTTTTACAATTCGAAAAAGTGTTCGTCCCATCTGGGTTCTGTCATTAACACACCCTCTTGACTCGATTCGAAACTCACCGACGTAAAAGTTTGTAATTAGTCGTAATTTTGACGTGCTTTTACGACCCTCACATTTACAAACAGTTCATTTTAAACACAAGAACACGTGGTTACCTATCGAAGTGTTTATTATTTTTGCACAATATCCCTTTGTCTAAATATGCATAATTGCAAGGAATTTCTTCTGGTGATGCTTTAGTTTATAAAGTATAACTGTTTGAACAGTAAAATCAGGACAAAGAATTATTAACCAATGTTTGTATTTGGAAGAGAATCGGAAAGTTAAAGAGCTGTATAAAACAATGCAATAGATTTGTCAATGGAAATAGCTCTTAGGGAATATTTTAATGCCTAGCAGACCTTGGAAACAACGAAAATTGTTTTGTTAAGTTATGGCAAAGCAACACTTGGGCAATCTGCATAGGGGAGCCACTGGTGGGTAAAACAATGAAAAGCTTTTTCAATAATCACTTTGAACTACAAAGAATACAGTAGACCCCCTATAACGGAGATTCCTATAACATGACGAAAAAATTGCGACAGTATTCATATAAAGACTCTAAAAGGGACTCGTAAAACGTTGTCGCCGACTCGTGTCACAACAGGATTGGTCAAATCTGGACCAATAGTAGACGAGCAGCCAAACTACTTACACACTATAGAGAGTTTAGGCAAGTAAGTTTACTATCGTCTTTACAGTATGTAAATTAGGGAACTCTCCATAAATTCTCTCTTCAGTAAATCATAAAAATACCTCTATTTTCGTATCTATTGGTCTAAACACATAATCGAATCGCTAACTAAACATTTAATTAACCCAAATATCAATCCATTTATTAGTGAACTGCTCGTCATTATTTGGAATAGTAAAAAATTATCAAAAATTATATTCAAAGTAAATTCAGAAATTGCTTATCACTCTAGCACTCTTATAAAATATACCGAACTAAAACCGAATATTCCTCTAGATCCCAGCTTATGCAACAATTATTTACAGTCATCTCGCCAACAAAAATTCAATCAAAACTATTACAAGAAATATGTCCAAACTCAAAAATTAAAAATAAGAAACTCATCAATAAATTTAGGTAGAAATAAGCAATATAGCGTCCCTTTTATGAGGCAGTTTAAAGTGGTATTCTAGAAAACACTGTAATTAGTTAAAAGCCCATACAAAAGATTCATTTAAAGGTCTCATAGTCTTTTGTTATCGACCTCTTCGCTAGAAATCGCGGGACCCTCAGGCGTCCAATTCCTACCCACAATACCCTGCTCTAACATTTCTATCTTCCCTTTTCTGTTTAAGTAAACTGTCTGGTAAGACGTGTGTTCATCGTTTTGCTGTATCTGACTGATTTACTGACCGTGTTTGGTGAGTAGACCATCTTTTAAGTGCTCTGGTAGCTTTTTAGCGTGTCGCAGCCGATAATGACCACTAGATATTAATACTAAAGTAGTATAAGTAAGGGTAAAATAAATCTGGTCAACATGTGTGGAACCCGTGCTCCAACCGCCAACGAATTCAAAGAATGCATCTCAGCAGCCTTAGAATCTTTAGATTCGAGTAGAAATCTAAAAAAGGAGATTTGTGACAAAATCCTGTCCAATCTACAGATGGCCCAGGACATGTTCACGTCCTTACTTGAAAATTACAACCAACTAAAAGAACAAAAATTGAGGGAATTGCTAAGCCTACCTCCTCGAACTCAAGTTTGTTCCCTTGTTTAAATATCACAGTAAAAATAACTTCATTCCATTTTGCCGGTATTATACTATTACTGTAAAATTGATTAAATTGTCTACTTAAATATCTTATGATTTCTATTGGCAACATTTTGATGAGTGAATTTGGTATTGGGTCCGATCCCGGTGTTGATTTGTCTAAGGTTTTTGATACAGTCCTGTACTTCTTCCATCTTGATTATCTCATCTTGCTGAATTTCTGGTCTTGTCTTAGTTCGCATATATTTTTTACAAACATTTTTCTGATAATTCTCAGAAAATTTATTGTAGTATTTAAGCCAAACGTTATATTCACTCTAGTCTGTTTTTTCCAACCCTAACTTTCTTTTACGAAAACTATTAATTATTCTCCAGAAAGCTCTCGAATCATTAGCTTGATAGTTTCTTACTGATTTTTGAAAAATATAATTTTTTCTTGGCTTTAATTAGATTGTTATACATTTTTTTTATACTTTAAATAATTCATTAGTGCTTTACTGGTATTAATTCTTTTAAAGATTTGTAAACACTTTTGTTTTTTAATTTTGTAGCCATAACATGTACTATCATACCATTCACATTTGAATACTTTTCCATTTTGTTGTATATAATTTTTGTATCTATATTCCTCTAATTTAGTTATAATACTCTGATAATTTTCTATTAGATCATTTTCTTTTTCCAATGTTAACATCTCTCCAATCATATCATCAAATTCATTCAACATTTTTCGTTTATTACATGACGGTCTTAATTCCAGATTAATAGAATGACTCTGTTTGCAATTATATATATTATTACTTATTTTTTCATATATTATTAACTCCAACTGAATAGGAAAATGATCTGCAAGGTCGTTTCCTAGAACCTTCAAATAGTTACAACAATTTATCATTTCTTCTGAGCAGATAATGTTGCAGTGTTTTTCACTAAGTGTTTGTAGTGTCATCGTTATATATATTTTTCTATATTCCGTATTGTCGCGCATCGGTAGTTGTTGTAAATTTAATTCGTAAGGTACGTATTGCATCTTGAGGTGTAGTAGGCGAGCCCGTGATTGGCATTCCTTGCTATGACGTAGGTTCCCACGTCAGGACATGGCGCGGGATATATAAAAAGGGAAGGACCACGGGCATGAGACACATTTTTTTTGTTCTTCTGGTTGTGTCCGGTCGATGAGGAAGAATCGTGTGAGAGTATGAAGGGAAGGAAGAAAGAAGAAGGAACCACGTGGAAAGGGGATGATTGAGTACTATGAGAGAGCCATTCAACGAGTATCAACTATCATCTTCATGTAAGAATATTCCGAATATTTTGTTAACAGAAACGATTCCTAATTGTTGTGTCAGGCAGTTTATGTTAGATCGTTTTGTTCAGTTCTTGTGTCGGTAAAAAGAGGGGTGGCAAAAGCCCCATCAAGAAATTGATTGTAAGTGAACCTCAGACGTATATCTTTCTGTGATTAAATCTGTGAAGTGTCTTGTTCATTCGTGCTGTCTTATTTTCCTTACCCTCATCTATGCACTAGCGTATTTTGGTACGCTACCATACTACAATGTAATCTACTATAGATTTCCAACTTGGAAAGACAAAAGTAATTTCTGTAGGGATGTCACCCCTCATTCTGAAATTCAGAATTATTAGTTGGTTATCTATCTATCTATATATATATATATATAAATGGACATGTATGTCCCTATATTTCACTTTTTCGGCAAAACTACACATGAATGGTGTTTGTATGTGGTGGTAGCCCCAAGTCTCCGTTCATGCATAGGGGTGGTTGTGTCTCGATAGCTATAAGGGTGTGGGAGATATGAGGTTGAAAGTGGTTGAAACTGGCTTTCTATTTCGAATGTTTTGTTGGAATTTAATTCGAACAAATTTGAACGATCTTAAACAAATTCGAACGATTTTAAATGTTTAAAATCGTTTAAGATCGTTAAGGAAAAATTTTCAAAATCTCGAATCATATCGCAAAAGCAAAAGATGGCGCGGAGAAATGAAACCACGGAAGAAAGAGAAATACACTTAACATTGCTACAAGAAAATTATCAACGAAACAGAAATAAGAAAACAGAAGAGCAACTTGAAAATTATAGAGAAACAGATCAAATCAGAAAAAGATTACAAAGAGAAAAAGAAACAAGTGCACAGTTGGATGAAAGAAGAAAGCAGATTAGAGAGAGAATAAATAACATTCGCCTAGATGAGCATGTCAACGCGCAATTATTAGAAACAACTGTATACGCTGTGCGCGAAAGCCGGCGAGGAACATACGGTCTTCAATGCGAAGCGTTTCATTATAATTCAACTAAAAATTATAATGAACATCCAAGTGTAGTGATTGGGAAAATGGATCAAATATGTAAGTTTTGTAAAGCTAAAAAATTCAGAGGCGAAACACAAAGTACATGCTGCTCAAGTGGTAAAATTAGATTACCAGCATTAAACTTGCTGGCGCCTGAATTTTTGGAAATTATGAATGGAGAAACACAGAAATCTAAACACTTTTTACAAAAAATTAGAAGTTACAATGCCTGCTTCCAAATGACATCGTTTGGAGCAACTGCAATAACCGAAGAAGAAGGATTCAATCCAGTGTTTAAAGTCCAAGGACAAGTGTGTCATAAAATTGGGTCATTATTGCCACTTGCAAATGAAACGCCGAAGTTTTTACAAATTTACTTCGTAGGAAATGAAGAAGATGAAGTAGTTCAACAGTTGACGAATTTTACAGGATTACGTCGAGATATAATTGTATATATACAGCGTGATCCTTTTTCAGTGAAACCCAAACGGGTGAAGATGGATATCCGAAATACAGACGTCGACCACCAAGTGAAGGAGGATTTACGGCAAAAATCAAGATAAGAGGCATACAAGTTGAAATTGACAATCAATGGGTCGTGCCATATAATCCACTATTATCGAGGATGTTTCAAGCACATATCAAAGTAGAATATTGTAGTTCTGTCAAGTCAATTAAATATGTGTGCAAATATATTAATAAAGGGAGTGATATGGCTGTCTTTGGAATAAGTAATGAAAATCCACATGACGAAATTTTCAGATATCAAATGGGATGATATATCAATAGTAATGAGGCGGTTTGGCATATATTAGGTTTTCCAATTCATGACAGAGATCCAGCTGTTTTTCATTTAGCAGTTCATCTTGAGAATGGACAACGAGTGTATTTTACAAGTCGAACAGCACAAAGAGTTGCAAACCAACCTGTTAATACGACCTTGATTGCATTTTTCGAATTGTGTCAAAATGACCCGTTTGCAAGAACACTTTTCTATATAGAAGTTCCCAATTATTACACATGGAACGCGTCACGAAGAATATTCAATCGACGCAAGAGAGGAACTCCGGTTGAAAAATTTGAAGGTGTATTCAAAGATAATGTCATTGGTCGTGTATACACAGTTCATCCGAAAACTGCAGAATGTTTTTACTTACGATTACTGCTTCACGAAATACATGGACCAACTGTGAAAGTTAAAGATGTACGAAACAAGTCTCTCAATGAATATCAATTAAACAATAATTTATTACAACAGGGATTAACAGGTAATACAGCGATGCCCGTCAGAGACAAATACACAGATATACAACAGGTCTCTACTCTCGTCCGGAATCTTACAATTTTTAATTATCACGATATAGGTTCTAATCACTAACTTATAATTAACTTACATCTAACTTAATCTAACACTATACTAATAAGAGGAAAAGGAAGGAAGGAAAGAAAAGGTCTACCGGTAGTTAGCACAGGAGGTCCTGATGGTGGTTTCCGATAATTGCGGGGGTTTTCTCGGCCGACTTTGGTATATTAAACATTCCTAGTATGAAATTTGGCACTTAGTTTCCGTAGACTACTATCTCTCATCAATCAAGTCACTAGTCCTCTTCTCTTCTCTTTGGACTACGCTAAACTTCGCACATTGGGCAGGTTCTTTGTCTTAAGTCTGACTTAATGTCCCGACGATATTTTCTTAACCCTTTCTCCTCGTCGTCCAGGCAAAAAGTGTCCTTCTCACCCCTTTGTTCACCTTGTGTACCCCACGGGCAGGGCCGCGCCCTGTTCACGTCGGTAAGCCACCAATCAGGACCCACAAAATTCCCGCTCCTGATCGGGTGACCGGAAATGGTCATTAGTAGAAAGAAGAAGGAAGGAAAAGAACAAAGGATCTTAAATCTAAATACTATAACTATGTATATACAAAATGGCGGACAGCCACACAACATCCTTTGAAGATCTTCGAACAGTAGATAATTATATTTGTGAAACCTATCGAGAAGCATGTCAGCACCGTGGTTTGTTAGAAAATGATAATCATTGGGAGCAAGCAATGAGAGAGGCTGCACAAGTAGCAAGAGCAGATCAAGTTCGAGAACTTTTTGCAATAATTCTAACATCGTGTAATCCTTCAAATCCTATTAAGCTATGGCTGAAATATCGCAACAGCATGAGTGACGACATTTTAGCCAGAGTGCAGAGAGACAATCCTGATTTGTATATTACTTTCAATGAAGATATTTATAATGAAGCCTTGATAATTTCAGAGGATAATGTTTAGCAATGAGCAATCAACGTTTGGTTCAGCTTGGAGTACAATCTCCCGTGAGAAGTGAGTTAGACGTAGATAGTTCTGAATTAACCAAAGAACTTAATTATAACATAGAAGAATTGCAATGTTACATCAGAAAAAATGAACCAAAATTAACACAAACATAACGGATGGTATATAACAAGATAATAAATCGTATTGAAACAGATGAAGGGGGAATTATCTTTTTAGATGCACCAGCAGGCACTGGTAAAACTTTTCTTATTAATTTGGTTCTAGCTACAGTTCGAGTGAAAAAGCAAATAGCATTAGCATTGGTATCATCCGGAATTTCCGCCATGTTAATGGAAGGAGGAAAAATGGCACATTCTGCTTTAAAATTACCATTAAATGTAGCCGAACAAGAGTATCCAGTCTGTAATATAACAAGGTCTTCTGCACGTGGTCAGATTTTATTGCGATGCAAAATCATTATATGGAACGAATGTACAATGGCCCATAGAAAATCACTCAAAGCGCTAGATAGAACATTACAGGATCTTCGGAAAAATACAAGATTAATGGGAGGAATTTTATTGCTACTATCAGGAGATTTTCGACAGACATTACCGGTAATTCCTAAATCAACACCGGCTGATGAAATAAACGCATGTCTAAACCGAGTAATGTTTTGGAATCGTGTTGAAAAGTTATCATTAACAGAAAATATGAGTGCAATAATTACAGGAGATCCGAGAGCACAAACATTTGCCGAAAATGTTTTGAAAATTAAAAATGGCGCCTATTCCCTTGATTCACACTCTGGTAAACTTATTTTAACAGAACAATTGTACAACGCGGTAGATACAGAACAACAACTTATCGAAAAAGTATATCCATGTATAGAAAGAAACTATCTGGATTAAACATCGTTGTATGAACAGGCGATTTTTGCTACAAAAAATAACGTAGTACAACAAATAAATGAAAAGATACAGAATATGATACTGGGGGAAGATAAAATAAAATATATAAATCGATAGACAAAATGATGAATCAAGATAAAGTGTGAACTTTCCAAAATAATTTTTAAATTCATTAAATCTGCCTGGTATGCCTTCGCATATATTAAAGTTAAAAATTGGATCGCCAGTTATACTATTACGAAATCTTAATCCACCGAAATTATGCAATGGCACAAGATTATGCGTAAAACAGCTACTTGAGAATATTATTGAGGCAGTAATCCTAACCGGCAAAGAAAAAGGAAACTCGGTTTTCATACCAAGAATCCCATTAATTTCAAATGATTTGCCATTTTGTTTTAAACAGTTACAATTTCCAGTGAGATTAGCTTATAGCATGACTATCAATAAGGCGCAAGGTCAGACGTTCCAATATTGCAAAGTTAATTTGAAAGAATTCTGTTTCTCACATGGTCAGCTTTATGTCGCCTTTTCACGTGTCGGACAAGCAAAAAATCCATTTGTATATGCACCAGAAAACAAAACATCAAATATAGTATATAAGATTGTATTTTAATAACATTTAGTATGTGTTTTTTAATAACATTTAGCGTGTATTTTAATAACATTTAGATATTTATGTATACTTACTATCTAAGATACTTATGTACAAAAAATAAAAAAGTTAAAAAATAGTTTTTTAATGCATGTCTTTTATATATAAAAAACTATATTACATATAAATGTAAGAACAAATAAAAACCGAGCGAAGCGGGTCCTTGCAGCTAGATTCTAGATTACTTAGAAAAACAGTCTTTTATATATATATAAAAAAAACTATATTACATACAAATGTACGAACAAATAAAAACCCAGCGAAGCGGGTCCTTGCAGCTAGTTANTCTTTTTCCAATGATAACATCTCTCCAATCATATCATCAAATTTATTCAAGATTTTTTGTTTATTATATGATGGTCTTAATTCCAGATTAATAGAATGACTCTGTTCACAATTATATATATTATTACTTATTTTCTCATATATTGTTAACTCTAACTGAATAGGAAAATGATCTGCAATGTCGTTTTCTAGAACCTTCAAATAGTTACAACAATTTATCATTTCTTCTGAGCAGATAATGTAATCTACTATAGATTTCCCACTTGGAGAGACAAAAGTAATTTCTGCAGGGGTGTCACCTCTCATTCTACCATTTAGAATTATTAGTTGGTTATTATCAATAAATTCTAAGAGTGCTCTTCCCCCTGTGTTTAACACTTTATCTTTGGATATTCTCTTATTGACTAAATTTTCAAACGTCTGACAAAATATGGTATCAGTAACTTCACCAATACGTGCATTTAAATCACCACCTATTATCCACATTTGTGTCAGATTAGACCATCTATCCAAAACCTTTTGCACTTCATTTAAAATTGGTTTCTTCTCAATAGAAGGTGGTATATATATTCCTATTACTCCCATATATGTGCACGAACATCTCATTTTTATTTTACTCTCTAATTTTATTATAACAGCAATAACATAGTCCATTGTATATTGTAGGAATATTTCACCTAATCTTTTCTTAATTAACAGTAGAATTCCACCTGATGGACGTCCAAATTTATTTCTGCGTTGAGCATTACTAATTATTATATTATTGTCTTGTTCTAGATATTTTATTTCCATTTCACTAAATTTTATAATCCAGGTTTCTAAAAATCCAATTATTTCATTTGAATCCAGAAATTCTCTCATTGAGGTTTTAAATAATTTCCCTCTCAGTCCTTGAATATTCCAGAAGTTTATCGTCACTTTATTTTTTACCCTTCTTGGAGTTTCTACTTTTTTCTCATTCAAATCATTTATTTTGACTATTAATTTATCTCCACTCATTTTCTTATTTTTATTCTCCATATTATTAGCCATTTTCCTTTTCTTCTGTATTGTTTTTAAATTTTGATTTATTTTTGTTAATCTTGTATTATATTTATCTCTAAAAAATGATTTAACTGAATTATTTCTTTGGTATTCAAATCATATGTATACATTATATTATTTTTTAAAAAATAATCATCTCTAATTTTTATCTTATCATCCGATTTCTCCAGTTTAATCATTTTTAATAATAATTTTCTCCTGATTCTAGATCTATAACATAAGTCCGTTGATATTATTATTTTTTTATTTTCGTCCGTCATTTTCGGTCTTGTAGTCCAAAATTTATTGAGAATTAGATTTCTGTCTTTAACCGATTCGGTCATAACTTTAATTACTTGGTTATTTCTTCTATTTCCTATTTGAATAAGACCTTCGATTTCTATACCATTAAGCTCTAAGTTAACTTTTATAAATTTTTTAAATTCTTCTACATATTCCGAGGTTTTAAATGGAAAATTAAATATAATTAAATTCTTCTTAGTTCTATCGTTTATCATTTTGTCAACTTCAAAATCCACCATACCTTTTAACTTGCTGTACGAGTCTGTTCTTTCTTCTAATAAACGTATTTTTTTACACATATCTTTCATCTCTTCCTTCAGCTTTAAATTTTCTTCGTTCATTTTGTTGATT